TTATTGAAAAAAGCTGAACGATAACAATTTATATTCGATATTGGGGTGTGTCTGTAGTTGTTTATTTAAAGGAAAAATGTAGTTAAAAACTAATTTAAAGATATTTATCAGAGTAGATTTAATTTTAGTGTTGGAGTAAATGAATTAATGTTTAGAAAATTTTTTGTTAAAAACACATTAAAAACATTTTTATAGGAAAATTTAAGTAAAATTTGTACAAAAATTTTATATAAAATAAAATGATAGAATTTATTTAAGTAAAAAAATAGTTAAAAAATTTGGAAAAATATATATTTATAAAAAAATTAAGAAAAATACTCACTCTAGTTTGGGTGACGATACGTAGTAATGACCTTTTTATATAGGTGGCGTATGAGTGATATTAATTATTAAAAAGAACTACTAATAATAATAGAGCGGGGCCTAAACATTTGGAAAATAAATCCAATAGCATGCCTAATTCAATACAAGTCTCACTGAGCATCACATTAAAAACAACGATTATTTTCTAAATGTCTTTTAAAACTTTCATTTATCTAATAAATAACAATATTTTTGAATATATAGAATATACTTTTCCAATCCTGCCTTTTAACTCATTTTGTTGTCAACCACAACAAACGTAAGTGTCATTCACACACTTTACTTTTGTTATGTTTCTGTTTAAAGGGGTTGTACCTTTAAAATTTCTGGTTTTAATTCTTTTCGCTGCAACTACTCATAAACACAATACTGCAATACTAACGTTAAAATGTTTGCCTTTCATTCTTTTCTTGTGTTACCAAACAATGATTCATTATGGCATTGGTCATAATTCTCTCGTTAAATGTCCACAGCAGCAGCAGTGTCATATAAAATGGTCCAGTGTTTTTGCACTTTAGTAAAAGAGCAGAAAACACTGTTTTATTTATGCTTTAGCAATGCTTTGAACAGGAAAGAGAGTGAGTCTGTATGCAAGTATGTATGTGTTTGTGTGCAAGAGACCGTATGAATTATTCGACCACTACATGTAATAAAATACACACATACTTGTAGTTTATGGGAAATACTGCATGCTGCTGCATTTCAAAAAATCTGCAGTAATTATATATTATTACACGTTTTATAATAATTTAAAATATTTATTAGAAAAACGAAAATAAGAAATTTAATATTGCTACAGATATGTGATTTCGATGTAAGTATTTTAAACGTTTATTCAAATTATATGAATGTACTTAAACAGTTTCCTTACCCAACAATTTGTTCAGTTCTAGTTCAGTTCTAGTTCAGTTCTAGTTCAGTTCTAGTTCAGTTCTAGTTCAGTTCTAGTTCAGTTCTAGTTCAGTTCTAGTTCAGTTCTAGTTCAGTTCTAGTTCAGTTCTAGTTCAGTTCTAGTTCAGTTCTAGTTCAGTTCTAGTTCTGTTCTAGTTCAGTCCTAGTTCAGTTCTAGTTCAGTTCTAGTTCAGTTCTAGTTCAGTTCTAGTTCAGTTCTAGTTCAGTTCTAGTTCAGTTCTAGTTCAATTCTAGTTAAGTTCAAGTTCAGTTCTAGTTTAGTTCTAATTCAGTTCTAGTTCTATTTCAGATCCAGTTTAGTTCTAATTCAGTTCAAGTTCAGTTCTTGTTCCGTTCTAGTTGAATTCTAGGTGAGTTCTAATTTCCCGAAATTATCTCCTTGTTACACGTCTTTGGTATCAACAATTCTCAACCCTCGTTTTTGATTAATCCCATGTATACACAAACAACAATTATTGTTACTGTTAAAGGAAGGATTTCACAAGGTCTTCTCACTCCTAAAGTGCTTGTAACAAAGATATTTAAATGCTTAAATACACATTCCATGAAACCAACATCAATAAACACATGACAGGGTGTAAATGCGATTAAAAAAAAATCTACCCAATTCAAAGCTGACATAATACAAATAAAATAAAACATTGAATACACAAACGCAAATAATTGAATTCATACAAGTGCACACATGCTTATGAATACACAAATAAACGGGCAGGACAAATGCATTAAGGAAATAATACCGAACAAGCTTAAACATGTATTTGTTTGCATTTCAGGGATAAATCAAATGCACTACACAGAGAAAGGATGTTGTTGGTGAGCCTTGGCATCAGAATCAACAACAACATCACCACCATTGATATTATTTTAATCGTTATCGTCATCTCCTGCATCATCATTATCAATAGGCTTCGTCATTGTAATCATTGTCATCATGGAAATTGTATAATATAAAGTTTTATTATATTTGTATGAATTTATATAGGAGTATGTGTCTGTATGTATTAAAAAAAGAATTTTATGCAGATGACTGTGACAATGTTTGATGATTTATTACGCATGATTGACATTTATATTGTATACAAAACATGTTTTAATAGGCTTCTCATAAAAGGAATCCTAAAAGTATACACTGTGATATGCACAGCAATCTACAGATATGAAAACACTGTACAAACATACGCACATCAACACACAGGCTCTCTAAACTCATACTCCCGGGATGTATGAGTGAGAGGTTTTTATACAAATACAATATTATTTATATATTTGTATGCATAACAGTTTCTCATACATACAAAAATTCTCCATATATGATGAATTTTTATCATAAAAATGTATTTTTTATTACCATCCAGTATGGGAGCACTTCGAAAGAAAAAATAAATGATTTATTGGAAAAAATATTTCAGACAAAAAAAAAAAAAAAGAAATATTATGTTGTATTTAATTGAATATAATGTACAACATTAAATATAATACATGTGTATATTATGGGAAAGAATTTGTTTTAATACTAACTATTGGCAACAAAAAAGAAGGACACACTTGACTGCTGTCAATCAAAATCGTATGGTGAAACGAAAAAGCAAAAGCGTAAGCAAATCGTTTAATAATTTCATGTCATAAATGTTTTTACGATTTTGATAAATATGTATATATTTCTTTTCTAGTTGGTTCTGTTCCAGTTCTGCTCTAGTTCTGTTATAGTTCTGCTCTAGTTCTGTTCTAGTTCTGTTCTAGTTCTGTTCTAGTTCTGTTCTAGTTCTGTTCTAGTTTCTGTTCTAGTTCTGTTCTAGTTCTGTTCTAGTTCTGTTCTAGTTCTGTTCTAGTTCTGTTCTAGTTCTGTTCTAGTTCTGTTCTAGTTCTGTTCTAGTTCTGTTCTAGTTCTGTTCTAGTTCTGTTCTAGTTCTGTTCTAGTTCTGTTCTAGTTCTGTTCTAGTTCTGTTCTAGTTCTGTTCTAGTTCTGTTCTAGTTCTGTTCTAGTTCTGTTCTAGTTCTGTTCTAGTTCTGTTCTAGTTCTGTTCTAGTTCTGTTCTAGTTCTGTTCTAGTTCTGTTCTAGTTCTGTTCTAGTTCTGTTCTAGTTCTGTTCTAGTTCTGTTCTAGTTCTGTTCTAGTTCTTTCTAGTTCTGTTCTAGTTCTGTTCTAGTTCTGTTCTAGTTCTGTTCTAGTTCTGTTCTAGTTCTTTTTCTTTGTTTTTCTTTCTTTTTTCTTTTTTTCTTTCTGTTTTTTTGTTTTTCTAGTTCTGTTCTAGTTGTTCTAGTTCTGTTCTAGTTCTGTTCTAGTTCTGTTCTAGTTCTGTTCTAGTTCTGTTCTAGTTCTGTTCTAGTTCTGTTCTAGTTCTGTTCTAGTTCTGTTCTAGTTCTGTTCTAGTTCTGTCTAGTTCTGTTCTAGTTCTGTTCTAGTTCTGTTCTAGTTCTGTTCTAGTTCTGTTCTAGTTCTGTTCTAGTTCTGTTCTAGTTCTGTTCTAGTTCTGTTCTAGTTCTGTTCTAGTTCTGTTCTAGTTCTGTTCTAGTTCTGTTCTAGTTCTGTTCTAGTTCTGTTCTAGTTCTTCTGTTCTAGTTCTGTTCTAGTTCTGTTCTAGTTCTGTTCTAGTTCTGTTCTAGTTCTGTTCTAGTTCTGTTCTAGTTCTGGTTCTAGTTCTGTTCTAGTTCTGTTCTAGTTCTGTTCTAGTTCTGTTCTAGTTCTGTTCTAGTTCTGTTCTAGTCTGTTCTAGTTCTGTTCTAGTTCTGTTCTAGTTAGTAGTATGTTTGAAGGGATTCCAGGCCACTTTTTAATGACAGACATTGCAACCAAAATGTTCGAAGGTTCGATCGCTGTTTGGTTCGATGCAACCAGTTAATGAGTTCGATGAAGTTCGTTTGATTGTTGCTTTAGCCACATACAACAACTTTATATTTATTGTGAAATCAAAATAAAGTAGCCCGACGGTTCAAGGAGGTAGTTCCAACCTAGTGACCGACGGTTCAAGGAGATAGTTCCAACGTAGTGACGTTGCATATAATGGTTAATTGTTAGACCCGAACGAGTAAGTTTCCCTTTTAAAATCTTGTTTTACCACTGGCGGCTAGGCTGGTAACCAGACGGATAGAAGATAGGAGGGGTGGTAGGAATAGGGATAATATAGAAAGGTGAAGGATTTAGGATGATCGAGATGGGGAAAAAGAGAGTTAGGATGGAAGGTTGAAAGAAAGAGAAAGATAGATAGAAGATCCGAACAATATAGTTTACTTACGGTTTAGAGTTAGGTGGCAGACCCGTTTAGGGTTGCCACTTGTTCAAGAAGAATTGGCTTTATGACTAGTTATTCCAACATGGGCTTAGAAGATAATGACTTTTAAAGTTAAAGGTAAAAAAGTTACATGTTTCCACACACTAGGTTACTGGGGGGACACTAAAGTAACGATTGACTAGTCTATACATTTCAAAGGGTACATTAATGACTAATGACCCAAATATATACTTTTACTAATGTATATCCACTATAGTGGTTTGACTTTAGTAAAAATTATAATCTTTTACGTGTGTACTGACTCCTGGACGAACTGCTGGATTCATTCCAACCAAAATCGTTTGGTTGGTTGTTTGTTCGATCGACTCAAAAATTGTTATTTTTATAAAAAATTAATCGAACATGTATGAATAATTCCATATATGACCAGAGAGGGAATAGTGATGATAAGCAGAAAAATATCAGACATAGTCGACCTTATTATATCCTAACCCATTTTCATATATTAGCATTAATATCAAACTGTAACATAACTCCATTTTACATACATTTGAATACAATTAATACATTATAAACAAATATTTAGGAATTGGATAGGTGAATTTACGTTCGTATAGAACTTATTTATGTTGAGTTTTATTGGGATTTTAATATGATGATCGTCTGCTTATTAAAGATGATCATTTTTATAATGTTTATTTCTTGTTTGATTTTTTAAAGTGCGAATGCGTATTTTTATTTACATTATTCTCTTCTTTTGTTTATATTAGAGTTTACATTTGTTAGCATGTGTCATATACTATATGCTAAGATTGTCGTTTATATGTATGTTGATATATTTGAGAGTTTCTATCATGTTTGTGCATGATTTCTACATTTAAAGAAAGTTAATATGGAGGCGTGAATTAAGTTCATTACTATCTTCAGTTACGTTAGTGCATATTTATATCTTAAATGAACTGATTCAATTAAAAAATTATCAAGTGTATGTTTATAGTTACTTCAATTCAAATATTAGAGAAATAAATAATATTTCAATATATGAATCCAAAGGAGTTAACATAAAAAAGTAGATTATTGACTTGTCATATATTTAAAACAAAATATTTTAACGTATTATATTCAGTATACTTCACTACTTTCCCAAGAACGGATCAATTGTTCTAAACATACTTTTTAATTAATTAAAAATTTAAACATTTAAATTTTGTTAATTATACTATATTTGAAATAAACAATTAAAAATATAAATAAATTAAATAAAAAAATGCCTGAAATAAGTCATGAATCCACTCCAGGCAGTGCTGCTGCCGAACAATCAACATTTAATGGTTTTATTAAAAGGGAGAAGAGCGCGTTTAAAAACAGAATTATCACATTATCATACAATATCAATAATGAACAATGTCTCATACCAGAAATATTGTTGAAAAAAGCTGGCAGAGAATTTATGGAGGAAGTCTATAAATTTTTAAAACTTAATATTGGCTTAAAGTTCAACGTTGAACTCCATGCTCTTTACGCCAAGCCCAACTTAGATGATTTAGAAAACACCCCATTAGATGTGAAAAGTTTTCAAACAAAAATGAAAGAAATGTTCGACATCAGCGAATTTGAAGTAAAATTTACCAACAATATTGGAAGCATTTTACAAAAAATGGAAGAGTTTCAGGAAAGAGACAGTGGTTGGACTTTAGTACAATTAATAAAAGTTGTTCTAAATATAAATAAGTATCAACCACTGAAGGGTTCATCCTATATATCACTACCCAAAAAATTGTTAATGAAGAACGCATGCGTAAATGTCAAAAATAATGATGAATTTTGTTTCAAATGGGCCGTGATTTCAGCCATAGTTAATTTGGAAACAAAGGCAAATCGTACATCAAATTATAAAGTGAATATTTTGTCGAAAAATATTAACTTAAAGGGCTATTGCTTAAATTTCAATGGGTTGAGCTTCCCATTAAAAATAAAGGATATAACCATTTTTGAAGAAAATAACCCATGTATAAGTATAAATGTATTTGGATATGATGAAGCAAAAAATATTGTTGTTGGGCCATACTATAAAACAAAATGCAAAAAGCCTAATCATATTAATCTTTTATTTCTTCAAAAAAGTATTGGGGATAATACCATGTGTCATTATGTATGGATTAAATCTATTTCAAGGTATGTATAATATAAAAAAAAAAAACATATCCTTTTGACTATTTGTATTTTACTAATTTTACAGATTGATTAGAAACCAACAAACGAAAAGAAAAGAGAAGGTATTTGTATGTGATGATTGCTTACAACATTTTCATCTGATAGAAAAATTGGTAGCACACCAGAAGAATTGCGGTCAAAAAGTATCTTATGTTCCGGAAAAAGATAAGTCTACTTTAGAATTTCAAAACTATTGTAATTCCATGGATGTACCGTTTGTAGTATATGCTGATTCTGAATGTATATTTGAAAATATTCAAACATGCATTCCGAACATGGATTCATCATCGACAACATTAGTTGATAAACATATTCCATATGCATTTTCATACTACATTAAGTGTGCTTTTGATAATAGTTTAAGTAAATTACGTAGTTTTAAGGGATTTAACTCAGCAAAATTATTTATAGAGAATTTAGTATCAGATGCTAAATTTTTAAATGATAATTATTTAAAAAATATTATACCAATGGCACCCTTGACCGAAGAGGAAAATTTAGATTTTTATTCAAATAATATATGTCATATTTGCTCAAAAAATATTTTAAATGAAGAAAAAGTAAGAGATCATTGTCATTTAAGTGGAAAATATAGAGGACCGGCTCATAATACTTGTAATATAAATTACAAATTACCTTCATTTATCCCAGTTATTTTTCACAACTTTTCGGCATATGATTGTCATTTATTTGTGAAAGAGCTTAATAATATTGATGATGGTCCCATTAATATTATTCCACTCAATAAGGAGTTGTATATATCTCTTTCAAAAACTATTAATAGCGATAACGGTCGCAATATTGAAATAAGATTTTTAGACTCATACCGGTTTATGACATCGAGTTTAGATAATTTAGTTAAAAATTTAACTCAGGATGAACTGAAAGTCGTCAAAGAATTTCATTCTGACGATAAAAGTAAATTTAATTTGTTATTAAGAAAGGGTGTTTTTCCATATACATATTTAAATTCAGTAGAAAAACTCCAAGAACCTTGTTTACCAACCATAGATGAGTTCTTTAATAAATTAACTGAATCAGAATGTTCTATAGAGGACTATGCACATGCACAAAAAGTTTGGAATACTTTTGAGTGCAAAACATTAGAAGATTACTTAATGTTATACTTAAGAAGTGATGTTTTATTATTAGCCGATGTATTTGAAAACTTTAGATTAGTCTGTAAAAACATCTATAATTTAGATCCATGTCATTACTATACGGCACCTGGTCTATCTTGGGATGCAATGCTAAAAATAACAAACATAAAACTAGATTTGCTTACCGATATTGAAATGATTAATTTTTTACAAAAAGGAATTAGAGGTGGAATTGTTCAATGTTCTCAAAGACATTCTGTTGCAAACAACAAATATCTTTCTGACTACAATGACAAATTGCCCTCTAAATATTTAACATATTTAGATGCTAACAACTTATATGGTTGGGCAATGTCTCAATCTTTACCAGAGTGTGATTTTGAGTGGATTGAAGATATTAGAAACTTTTCATTGGAAAGTATTCCGATAGATTCTGATACTGGATATATTTTAGAGGTAGATTTGATATATCCCATAGAAATTCATGATAGTCACAACAATCTACCATTTTGTTGTGAAAATAAAGCACCACCCAGTTCTAAAGAGAAAAAATTAATTGTGGATTTAAACAACAAATATCAATATGTAATCTATTATAAGAATTTACAACAATGCTTAAACCACGGTCTAAAATTAAATAAAATACATAAAATCCTAAAATTTAAGCAGTCTAACTGGTTAAAAAAGTATATTTCCTTAAATAATTTTCACCGAACAAATGCAAAAAATACATTTGAGAAAAATTTTTTCAAACTGCTTAATAACGCTGTATATGGTAAAACTATGGAAAACGTTGATAAACGTAAAAACATTAAAATTGTGAGTAAATGGGAAAATGAAGGAAAAAGACTTGGAGCTCGTGCTCTAATAGCAAAACCAGAATTTCATTCTGTTAGTATATTTGAAGAAAATATGCTAGCAATTGAATTAAATAAAACGTATTCATTTTATAACAAACCCATTTATCTAGGTTTTACAATTCTAGAACTATCTAAATGGAAGATGTATGATTTCCATTATGATTATATTGTTCCTAAATACAATTCAAAAGCTCAACTTAATTATATGGACACTGATTCATTCATTTATACAATTAAAACGGATGATTTCTATAAAGATATAATTGATGATATCGATTCAAGATTCGACACTTCGGAATACGAATCTGATAATCGTTTTGGTATACCAAAAAAGAATAAGAAAGTATTAGGAATGATGAAGGATGAAAGTAATGGTATACTTATGAAAGAATTTATAGGTTTAAGAGCTAAAATGTATTCATTTAAAACTGAAGATCATAAAGAAATCAAAAAAGCTAAGGGTGTCAAAAGTAATGTAGTTAAAAATTTAAGTCTTTCAGACTATAAGAACTGTTTGTATAATAAAAAAGTATATTATGGAAATATGATTATCTTTAAATCAAAATTACATGTTTTGTACACAGCATATATAAATAAAATTAGTTTAAGTTATTTAGATAATAAACGATTTATTTGTAATAATAATGTTAATACTCTTGCTTGGGGGGCATTATAAACAAAAACTTTTAATAAATAATGATGATGAAGATCATGTTATGACCGATTTAAACATGATTAAAATGAAAGTAAATGACATCAATGATGCATCCATAAGCAATGAAGATGAATATTTAATGGAAATAGAATAATAAGATTTTCCTTTTATATAAAAATGTTTAGACTTAGGCTAATAATTTTTAAGAAATTATATATCACTTAATATACTTACATATAATATTGTATTAACTTAAGTATGTTAGTTAAGGGAAATTTATAAAAAAAAAAATAATAATAAAAGCAAAAAAAAACTGTAAAAATTTCGTTTCATTTTAAGAATTTAGAGCCAATAACGAATGTTTTAATATTGGTGTTACACTTGCGTACATCGAACATATATATGAATATTATTGCGCAAGGTTATGAAATTTTAATAAAAAAAAAATTATGCTGGAGATATTAAGTGTCCACAAAGGGAAAAACAAAAAAATCGAAAGCAAATAAAAATAAACATTTAACTGCCAAACGGACAACAACAAAAAATTAAACACACTCATTCAGTGAGTACGGCGCATACGTATATACAATCCAACATACAAACACAACAGGACAGACGAATTTAGCTAATGGAATCAGACTAAAGTAAAATGCAACATAAACATAAA